CTCCCAAGTAGCTGGGCCTACAGGCGCCCGCCACAGCGCCTGGCCATTTTTTGGTTGCAGCCATCATTGTTGTTTGGCGGGCCAGGGCTGGGGATTCGAACCCGCCACCTTAGGTGTATGTGGCTGGCGCCTTAGCCACTTGAGCCATAGCCGACAATGCTAGTTTTAAGCTAATGATTTCACACGACTCTCCATTAACTTTTCATTCACCTAACAAGAAATTGACAGGCTGAGATTTCGCATTATTTTCTTTCCCAGGCTCTCCCTCTGGTGGAGGCAGAAAAAAAGGGGGGGGGTGGTGGCAGAGAAAGAAGAGCATAATCAAGGGATATGGCACATTTGCAAACAGACCATCTTGAATAAGAAAATAACTACTGAAAAGCAGAGAGAAGAAAAAGAATCGTTTTTGCATTTTCAGCCCTCGGACTTCATTCCAGAATTCAACACTGCCTGCCAAAAGCAATGGCATAAGAGCAAATTTCTATCACCCACAACCTTCTGCTTCGACCTCCCCGGATAAGACTTGGTCCAATCTGAGTCATGACACTACCAGGCAGAGCGAGCCAGGCAGGACTGATGCATTCTAACTAAGGGAAATCAGGCCCAGAGGGGGGCGAGGAGAGCTCATTAACTAAAACTCCAAGAGTTCCACAGTAGGGACCTGAACAAAAAGTCTCTGTCCAACGAGCAAGCTGCAGACCCGCTGCTGCCACCCGCTCCCCTTTAAAAAGGGGGTTCCGCCCAGAAGTAGGGGAAAGGAGGTCGCCTCGCGCAGCGGCACCAGCCCCTCCCTGCGCCGCCCGAGCCCCCGCCCTCCCCCAGCAGAGCTCCCGGACAGGACCTCCACCTTCTGGCTTCATCCCTCCGCCCTGCTCAAGACGAGGCCAGCCACCATCCCTCTCTGACCTGTCCCCGCAAGGTCCGAGTCGGTAGCGCGAGGCCTCCATGACCGCGTCGCGAATAGTGCCGACCGCCTCCAGACCCCCAGATGCCGCCGCTGGAGTGGCAAGTCTGGCCAGCCGCCGGGCCCCGCCCCCTGGCAACCACACCCCGCACTGTCGCCGCCGCCTATTGGGCTGTGAGCCCGGTGATTTTACCTCATTGGCTACTTCCCTCACTCGGCGATGCGAGAGGGTTTCTAAGGGGCGGGAGGAACCGGGGAGTAAAGGCGCCTGCGCTGGGGCGAGGATGACTAGCCCAATCTGCGCTGGGTCTCCCGGACCGCCTGGTCTGCCTGGGGCTCAGGCCGACAGGATGTGTTCGCATCAGCTGCTCGCAAGCGAGTCCATCCGAAAAGCCGCCATCTCACACATGCGGAGCGGCTCCTCGCACCCCTGCCACTGGTGCCAGAAGACCACCCAGAGCGCTTCCCGAGGTCTGTAGTGTAAGGACTTACAGACCTCTGCTCCTTCACGCTGGCCCCTTCCCTGATTACCAGGGGCATTTCTGGAATCCCACTGGTAACCCTTCCAGCAGCCACTCTCATCAAAATGCATCTTTCTTTCATAGCCCGGCCTCGAACTTGTACTGCGCAGAACTGCAGCAGCCTGTCCTACTCCAACCCAAGCTTTTAGGCCGTTCCTAGGCCTGCTGCACACTCTCCCAGAGCACACAGGGGGATCCAGAGACTTTCCATCTACCTCTCTAATGCCTATGGACCACCTTCAAACATCCATAGCCTCTAATAAGATCGACTACAAAATCTGTACTCTTGTTTCCAATATATCATATCCCTAACTGTCAGTTCCTTTCTCACTAGCAACATACACACATCCAAACAACCTGACAAGACATAGCAGATTGGCTTTACGGCATTACAAGGTTAAAGTTTGTTACCACTTTGGTTTTGAACCAGAAGTCAGTTTTTTAGGCGGCACAGAAGTTGGCACAAACTAGGAAAGCAGGGCGTTGCTCTCACTAGTCAGCCTCCACTCACTGTGACCCTGAGCATGGTTCATTCTATAAAATAAGACTAGGCACACTAACTGACTGTAATCCTCGCACTCTGGGAGGCTGAGGCTGGCAGATCGAAAGTTCAAGACCAGCCAGAGCAAGAGTGAGACTCCGAGTCTACTTAAAAATAGAAATCTTAGCCAGGCATTATGGCAAGGGCCTGTAGTTCCAGCAGGAGGATCACTTGAGCCCAAGAGTTTGAGGTTGCCGTGAGCTGTAATGACACTATGGCACTCAACCCCAGGGGCAGAGACTCAGCCTCAAGAGAAAAAAAAAGCAAGCTGGGCGGCACCTGTGGCTCAGTGAGTAGGGTGCCGGCCCCATATACCACCCCCATATACCAAGGGTGGTGGGTTCAAACCCCGCCCCAGCCAAACTGAAACAAAAAATAGTCACGCATTGTGGTGGGCACCTATAGTCCCAGCTATTCAGGAGACTGAGGTAAGAGAATCGCCAAAGCCCAAGAGCTGGAGGTTGCTGTGAGCTGTGATGCCATGGCACTCTACCGAGGGCAAAAAGTGAGGTTCTGTCTCTTAAAAAAAAAAAAAAAAAGCTGAATCTGGGTGGTGCCTGTGGCTCAAGGAGTGCCAGCCCCAGCCAAAAAACTGCAAAAGAGAAAAAAATAAATAAAAGCTGAGTAATCCCCATTTGGTCTAGCCTAGGGATGGACCTGACACATACTTGGTTCTTATTTTTTTTCTGTGTTAAATTTGTAACTAAAAAAAGGATTATGTTTATTGAGGGCAAAGGGATGCAAACAATGTAAAAAACAAAAGCTCATCTGGCATTTAATTAATTTTTTCTTCTCTGCTTGACAAATGGGAGTTGGATTTTATTTGTATATATTCTAAGGATCCTGGTCTGCTCATGAAATCCTTATACAGGGAGAAGCTGTGGGGCAGATGTCTGAAGCAATCCTTTGAGAGAACACTTTTCAGGGCAGAGTAATTGCTCGGTTCTGACTACTTCTTGCCCTTCTGCTTCATGTGTATTACAAAATAGTTGTTGCAGGAGATGGTGAGGCCTGCAGTTAGGGAAAAGAAGCTCTGGAAGCCACTTTGCCATCTCAGCACTGGTCCAGGTCCTTCATTATTTTGTCTAAGGCCAGAGGGTCTTTTTGATTTTCCAAAAATCCCGGGAACTCCTTCTCCATGAGCATTCTGAGGTCCTCCTTTGTTACGTAGCCTTTATCCCTGGCAAATTTGTGAAATGTGAACATCATGGTTTCCATGGCGTGCTCCATCCGAGATGGCATTTTGGTGAGTTCTACTGAAGTCTGGGCCGAGAGGCGCAGCGGACACTAGCTGGCTGGGGTGCCCGGCGG